GGTACAATGAAGTAGTTATGCAAATACTACTACTAATAAAACCTTGAGAGTATTTGCTTAGGAAGTTTTCAATATTCAGTATTTTTGGAAGTGTCAATGAAGTACTGATGGGGTGGTCATAATCATCTGGCCACTCGGTGTATTTTTAAGTCTTTTATTTTTTAATTTCTCACCCAAGGATGTTTTTTAAATTCATTTTAGATAGAGGAGAGAGAGAGAGAGAGAGGAGAGAGAGAGAGAGAGAGAGAGAGGAGAGAGAGAGCAAGCGAGAGAGAAGAGAAAGAGAAAGAAAGAAAGAAAGAAAAAAAGAAAGAAAGAAAGAAAGATCAAAGTGTGAGAGAAACACTAATCAGTTGCCAAAAGTGTGAGAGAAACACCAATCAGTTGCCTCCTGTAAGTGCCCTGACTGGCAATGGAACCCACAACCTTTTTGGTGTATGGGACTATGTTCAACCAACTGGCCAAGCACCATCTGGCCCTTTAGAGAAAATGTTTGCCTGTCTCTCCCTTATGCTGAGGGTCTCTGACATCTGCCCAGCTCTGAGGGCTCCCACAGCCTGGACTCCACCATTAGGGTCCCTGCCTCCCAGCCTGGGGGGCCTCTGCCCATGGCCCTGGGAATCCCAGCCCAGGGGTCCCAGGTCTGAGACCTCAATCCTTAGTCCTCTGTGCCTGCCACCATAACAATCCAGGTCACCCACCCTCAGCTCCAGAGTCGCTGTGCTCTGTTCCAAGTCACAACGGCCCCAGCCCTAGCCCATCACCTTTGACACAGCTCAGGATGCCTGCCACGGACTGGCACACGTGCCCCGCTTCACAGCTGTAGTTCTGGCACACCAGGCCTTTCCCAGCATGGCACACACACTGCTGCCGGCAGCTGTCGATGAGTACCGTCTGCTCTGGCTGTGGGGACAGCGGGCACAGTCATCAGTGCGGGATCTGTGCCCTCTGACTCCAGCATCTGGTGATCTGGGCACAGCGGGATCCAGAGGACAGGAAAGGGACATCTTTCATCAGGGTGGCCCCTTGTGTGTGAAACTAAGGCACCACATGGCCTTGGGGTTCAATTCATTCATTCACTCACTTTCATTCATTTACTCATTTGTTTATTACAAAATAGCCACTAAATATCTGCTGCCTCGGATAAATGGTGTATCAGAGTGAAGAGGAGCAGAGGCTCTGGAGCAGACCGCCTGGGTCTGAAGCCTGTTTTTGCTCTGCTCCAATCATATCATTCTGTGCAAGTTACTCAACTTCTTTATGCCCCAGTTTCCACATCTGTAAGTTGCAGATAATAGTTACACCTACCTATGAAAGTATAACTGAGTTAGCAATACATATAAAGCACAGATGAAATGAGAAGGATTTTCTTGAAATCATACAGATTGGAGAGAAAGTGGGTAGAGATGAAACAAGATTGGGAAAATGTTGATTTTTTTTCAAAGCTGAGTGATGGGTATGTGAAGATTTATTACAGTTCTCTTTTGCATATTTGAAAATTTTCATAATGAAAAATTTATATAGTATAGTATAGTATAGTATAGTATAGTATAGTAAATACACATACAGCACTTAACACAGTAACCGGTACATAGTAAGCACCATCTGCCGATGTGCTATTATTAGAATTCATATGAGGAGAACTTCAGGGAGGGCCTTGTCCTCATGGTGCTCACAATTCTTTGAGGGAGACAGACTTTACCAGCGGTTCTCAACCTGTGGGTCGCGATCCCTTTGGCGGTCGAACGACCCTTTCACAGGGGTCGCCTAAGACCATCCTGCCCATCAGATATTTACATTTCAATTCATAACAGTAGCAACATTACAGTTATGAAGTAGCAACGAAAATAATTTTATGGTTGGGTCATAACATGAGGAACTGTATTTAAAGGGCCAGAAGGTTGAGAACCACTGCTTTAGACAAACACATTCAAGTCAAAAGAACAGGAGTAGCTGTGAGAGTGGGAGAGGGCAGCAGAGGGAGTTAGCCACTGGTGTAACAGAGACAAAATCTAGACCCGGATACAAAGCCAAAACTTGACCTGGGAAGCCAGGTCGTATTTACAAAAGTCTTTCCCACCCCCATGGGGACATTGATCAAAGGAAGCAAAAGTGAGAACTGGGAGGAGCCAGGTAGGAGGGGACACACGGGATCACAGTGGGGCCATGGGTTGTGGAAGAGGGATGGGTGGGAGGGACAGGAAGGATGCCAAGTGGACAGGCTGAGAGGTTGATAGGCAGTGGGAAGGGCAGGTCCAAGATGAGGCCCCAGATCTACTCAGGATGACCAGTTCCTACCTCATAGTAGACACCATTGTGGTAGCAGCCACATTTCTGGATGGGCACGCAGGCTTGGCCGTCACTGAGGAAGCCGGGGTCACACTGGCAGCCCTCCGCACAGTTATCCGGGCACTGAGGGGCGGCACTGAGTGCAGAGCAGCTCAGGGAGCAGGTGTCTGCGCAGAGCTCATAGTGGCTGTTGGAGGGGCACTTCATCGCTGTAAAGAGTGGGTGTGGTTCAGAGCCCCTGGGAAGGAGGGTGCAGGGCCCAAGGTCTTCTCCTTTTGTGCCTCAACCCCCACCCCCCCTGCCCTGTCCTTTGGTCTCTGCCTTCTCTGCCCCTTACTCACGACAGAAAGATTCATTCCTCCAGGGTTTGACATGGCCTCCAAGCGCCTGGCAGGCACTCACATAGGCATGAATGTTACTGCAGAGAATGTTCTGGCTTCCGTCACCCACGCAGAGGTCAAAGACACAGTCAAACAAGGGACCCTGGGGATCAAGCAGCTTGTGGCAGGCGGCCAGCGGCCCAGTGGGGCTGGTGAGGAGCCCACAGAACTGCTCCTGCTGGTATTTACTCTGCAGCTCAGGTCCACACTCTGGAGGGTTGCAGTCTTCGCCGGGCTTGCAGGTGGGTGGCCGCACGCAGGGAGAGCCGGGCACGGCCTCCTCCCAGGAGTTGCCAAACTCATTGGGGCTGCCTGCCTGCGAGCCATCAGGCTTCTGGAAGTCATCCTTGGGGTCACCGTTGTAGTTCCCGCACAAGCCACATAACTGCTGGTAGTAGTTGCCTGGAACCGTGACCCGCACATTGTACATGAGGTCGTAGGCCACACGCAGGCCAAAGTCAGTCTGGATCACAATGTCTGAGCCGTGCTGGGAGGCACGGACCCGGCCCTGGGCCAGCACCACAGGTAGCTTCATGTCCACACCATTCACCTGGGAGGTAGGAGATGCCATACTCTGAGAGGGCAGACCCTAGCCAAGCCCCTGCCTGACACTGAAGATGTGTATGACCTTAGTTTCCATATTTGTAAACTGGTTATAATAGGGTCTTAGAGTGGGCTGAATGGTGGTCCCCAAAAGCTATGTCCACCCAGGACGTTAGAAGATGACCTCATTCTAAATAAGGGTCTTTGTGAATGTAATTAGGATAATGATCTTGAGATGGGATCATCCTGGATTAGGGTGAGCCCTCTGTCCAATGGCAAATGGCCTTATAAGAGCCAGAAGAAAAGACACAGAAATACCCAGAGAAGGCCAGCGAAGATGAATACAAGGATTGGAGTGGGGGAGATGCGGTTACAAGCCAAGGAACTCCCGGAATCTCCAAGAGCTGGAAGGGACAAGGCGGGATTCTCCCCTAGAGCCTTTGAAGGGGGTGCAGCCCTATGATTTTGGACTTCTGACATTCACAACTGTGAGAAAATAAATTTCTGTTGTTTTAAGCCACAAGAAACTAATCCAGGTCTCAATGGAATAAAACCTTACCAGTCATTGTTTAGTCACCACTTACTGCGGTGCCTGACTCCAGAGACACCTGCCTGGGTTCAAACCAGCTCTGCCCCTTACAGTCTTCCTGTGACCTTGGGCAGGAGGGTCACCTCTCTGTTTCTGCTTCCTCACCTACTGAGTGGGAATGAGGTACTTACCCCATGGTGCTGTTGTCAGGACTTGATATATTAATATTTGCAAAGTGCTAAGAAGCGTATCTGACACAGAATGGGTGTTGGGTGTTCTGGGAACACTTGCTATTATTAATAGCTGTGACTGGGAGTTTTTATTTTGAAGAGTAAATGGGTGCTAAGGGTTTTTGCCTTAATCATCAGTGAGTGGAAAGTCAGGTTAAATTTCTAGGGAAATGACTTCAAGTCCATGAACCAAAAATCATTTGTTTCAGTGTAAGGCTGCTGGACACCAACAAAGCCTTGTAAATCCACCTCTGATTAACGTGCTTGCTTGGCCTTTTAAAACGCAGACACAGTGAACATTAGGTTGTTTTGAAAGTGTGAGGAATCAGAAGAGAAGGTAGGAGAAAGACATGCTCCTGACTGAGTCTCCTAAATAGAGTCAGCCATACTTCCCAAGCAGGAATGGGCAGTGGTTAAGGACAAGTGACTTACCCCCCCCCATGCCTCAGTTTCCTCATCTGTATAGTGGGAATATTAATAGTTCCCACTTCATGGCAAAGCTGGGGGATTCAATGAGGTAAAAATAACAACACCAACTCCTCATACATTTTGAGCCAGGAATATGCCAGGTGATATTCTAGGAGCTTGCTTATATCAGGGACTATATATAAACATCAAATCCATGAGCACATGAAATAGTCAGCTATTCATCAGCATCCTCATCGTCAATATTGCTACTAGTACAACAGCCGTGTGCCTGAATTGGAGTGGGATCTCTGAGGAAAACCCTCTAGTGTAAGTGAAATGCCAGTTCCCATTTGAGACCAAATGCTTCTCGACCAGAAAAGCATCAAAGCACCCAGGGCCCAGCATGCTGTCTCCTGGCACACCATCTTGGGTTCAAGTCCTGCTTTTGCTGGGGGCCTTTGGGCCAGTGATGAGACTTCCCCTCGAAAAAATAAAGCAAATCATGGCACTCTAGCTACTGCTGGGAGGACCAAATGACACCGTAGGTATGAAGAGCTTAGCCGCCAAGGTCTGGAGTCAGCTGTATAAAACCATAATTCTGTTATTGTTGTGGTTGTGGCTATTAAGGAGTGATGGCGTTATCCACAGATCATCCTCTGTCCTTGACCCCTTTCCCATCCTTGAACTTTACCAACCTCTGATTGCATCATGTTCTGCCACTGGCTGGGAGACTAGGGAAGTGGCTGGGGCAAGGACCAGGATGAAGGGGAAGATGGAGGGGAAGGAAAGACGGTGTGGGAGAGACATTCAGAGGGAATAGTCAAAGGGCAGAGAGAGGGCAGACTGAGCCACATGAAAACAGGTCTCATGTCCCTTGGCTCCCCACTCTGGGCTCTGATTGGCAAGCCCTCGCCTTGGGAGCCCCACGCCTCCCACATCCACTCTGAGGCCTATGTCTCCTGACCTTGGGCTGAGTGCTGCCTGGGTCCCACCCACAGATCACCTTCTCTCCCGGACCCCCACCCCCTTCAGGTTCCATCCCTGCTCTCACCTTGATCTTCCACTGATTCTGTTCCAGCCGCAGGGTGAAGTTAGCCACCTGGACAGTGACCACCCGGGTCACACTGACTTTCCTATTGTTCCACTCCACATTCTCCTGCAGGACAGCAAACTGGTCCAGGCCAGGCCGGGTCCCACAGGTCTGAGCCAGCACGTACACACAGGTGCCCATGAAATCAAACCGGCGGCCATCGAAGGTGGTGTAATGAGGGTCTCCTGATGCCTGGCAGGTGGCAGAGCCCACAGCCACGCAGCCCAGGATGCCACCAGATGGCTGGCAGGCCTCATGCGGGCCGCAGGTGGAGGGCTTACAGGATACCAGGCCGCCCTCCTGGCAGTGGCAAAGGGAATCGCAGCCCGGTCCAGGATAGAAGGTCTGGCCCGGAGGATGATAGATGCCCTGGTACAAGCAGCCGCAGGAGGACAGGGGCACGCAGGACTCACCATTGAGCGCAAAGCCCTCATCGCACACGCAGCCCTCATGGCAGTCAGAGCCACAGCCCCCGGGCACTGGGAGGTCTCCACAGGACAGTGGGCAGCCACGGGAACACAACTCGTAGTGACTGTGGGGCGGGCAGCTCAGTGCTGCAAGGAAAGTGACTGTCAGAATTGAGAATCCCTGACTCCGGGGACACAGTTGACCTCCTGACACACATGCATTTGCACACACTACTCACACACACACACACACACACACACACACACATTCACACAAAAGTGGTCCAGCTGCAAAGACTCCCTCTGTTGAGTGGGGCCTGGGGAAACAGATTATATCACAGTTAATCCAATACTGATAATTAGGATTTTTTTTCTTATTTAACTGTGGTTCGGGTCATCTGTAATGTTTTCAGTGACCTTATTCAAATTGGTAACAAGTGCACATGTGGTACGTATTTTAAACATATGTATGCATGTATATATATATATAGTGTGTGTGTGTGTGTGTGTGTGTGTGTGTGTGTGATCTATGCAGTGTATTTGTGAATGCAGTGCTCTTAGCTTTTTTATTCTATAGTAGGAGTAGTAATTCTATAGATTAAAATATTTGGCCATGTTGTAAAGAAAAAATCCTGTTTCTCTCTCCAAACCCTACTCACTCCTAAAAGAAAACCCACCACCAACAACAACAATGAGAAACTAAAACTGAACCCAATGAGAGTCCTCTATCTGTGCAGCTCAGTACAATAGCCACTGTGGCCATTTAATTGTAATGCAATTAAAATGGAATAAAATTGAAGATTTAGTTTCTTGGTCACAATAGCCCCATTTCAAGTGCTCAATAGCCACATGTGATAGTGGCAACCATATGAGACAACTCCCATATAGAACATTTCCATTATCACTGAAGTTCTATTGAATAGCACTGTTCTAGATCTAATATCCAGTTTACAAGAAAATCCAGCTACACCAGTGGTTCCCAACCTTTTTTTTGGCCATGCCCCACCTACGCATCTCTAAAATCCTGATACACCGCCCCCCCACCCCCCACCCCCGTGACACATTATTCTTATTATTCAAAAAGTGAACTCCTAGCCCTAGCTGGTTTGGCTCAGTGGATAGAGTATCAGCCTGTGGACTGAAAGGTCCCGGGTTCAATTCCAGTCAAGGGCACATGCCTGGGTTGTGGGCTCGATCCCCAGTAGGGGGCATGCAGGAAGCAGCCAGTCAATGATTCTCTCTCATCATTGATGTTTCCATCTCTCTCTCCCTCTCCCTTCCTCTATGAAATCAATAAAAATATATTTTTAAAAAAGTGGGCTTAGTCTGAATTCAGATTCAAATAAACTGAAAAAAACACATTTTTCTTAGAGAACTGGGGAAACTGAAACCCAGGTTGGGTTTTGGATGATGTCAAGGAACTGGTGAACTGGTTTTTAGTTTCAACAGTATTTAACCTATTGTAACATAGTTATATACACTGAAGTCTCTTTTTTGATCACTGCATCAGGAAGCTTTTGCTGGGTAACAAACATCCCCAAAGCTTAGTGAATTAAAACAACAGGTACTTATTATTTCTCATTATTCTGTGGAATGGAAACTACAGATGTAAACTTGCACTTATATTAAGTTCAGAAACTTTAGATGTCAGAATAGTGGTTACCTCTTGGGTTATAGGGCCAGGAAGAGGGCATGAGGGGCTTCTGAGGCAGTGGAGGGGCCTTGTATGCTCTTTTTTATGATTCTTGGGACAGGTTATGCAAATTTGTTTTCTTGCTGAAAAGTGGTTAAGCTTCTACTTATGTATATTTAAACATGTGTTTTATATTTCAACAATAAATTTTAAAATGTAAAAATCAGGTGAAGGGATGCATGGCTTTGTGAACTTCTCTTATAGGCAAGCAAAACTGTGTGAAGACCATTCCTGCAGCCACAGCGGATGCAAGGGTCTCAAATTGACTACCCAAGGGGCCATCAGATGTTGTACATGAGTGAAGTAGACCAGATGGGGACCAAGAAGAACTAAAGAGGGAACCGGGCTCCTTCTAAAGGCAGTACCACTGCTCATCTCTGAATGACAACTGCCATATGGCAACCAGACCCAGGGCCACCAGATGTATCCAGTCATCTTACAAATATTTACTGCATCTGTGATTTTCTAGCTGTCACGATCCTGGGCATGTAACTGATCCTTTCTGAGCCTCAGGTTCTTCATCTGTTAAATGGGCAAAACCACAGTTCCTACCTCATACGGCTGTTATAAGAATTAAATGAATTAATGATAGTTATATGTTAATGAATACACACAAGACTGAGACCCCAGTTTTCACTACTCGTACTCACGGCAAAGTTTCTCACTCCTCCAGGGGTGCACAGTGGCCCCAGTGGCCTGGCATGCAGCAGCATAGGCAGCTAATGTGTCACACAGTGGCCCAGACTGGCCTGGGAGCAGGCAGAGGTCGTAGACACAGTCGCGCACAGCGCCCTGTGGGTCCAGCTTGCGGTGGCACTCCCGGAAGGGCCCTTTAGGGTCAGCAAGGATCCCACACTCCTTCTTGCTCTGCAGCTGCTGGGCCACCAGGGAATCCAGCTTGGGACAGTCACCTGGCTTGGTTGCTTCACAACCGGGCCTTGTCTCCTCCTGCCAGCTCTTCCCAAAGTCCAGTGCATTGTCAGCTTGGCCCCCACCCCGCAGAGCTAGATCGTCATCTGGGTTCCCATTGAAGTTCCCGCAGAGCCCACACAGGGCCCCGGCATAGCTTCCAGGCACCTTGGCAGTCACACGGGCATTCCAGTCATAGGTGACAGTCAGGCCAAAGTCTGTGCGAATGACTACATCTTGGCCCTGGCGGAACACCTGGACCTGCCCATCGGCTGCCTGGAAGGGCAGGTACTGAAGGATGCCATCCACCTGGGTAGAGATGCAGGAGAGCCAAGGGGTCGGGGTGTATTCATGGCTCTGTAGCCCAACCCTCATTCAATCAGCTCCAGCTAGTCTCAGCTTCTTGCTATTCCCTTGAGCACATTACGCTTGGTCCCACCTCAGAGCCTTTGCACTTGCCGTTCCCTCTGCCTAGCACACCATTCACCTCTCTTCATACTTCAATCATCAACTTAAATCCAAATCCCTAACTCATGGCCTTCAAAGCCTTCAGACTCTGTCTCCCCATGACCTCCCTGACCTCACTTCTTCACACCCTCCTCCTCACTCATTCTGCTCCAGCGACACTGGCTTTCTTGATATTCCTCTAACTCTCCCAGTTTAGTCTAACCTTAGGGCCTTTTCACTTTGCCAAGAACATCAGCTAGTACTTTTGTCCTGGCTGCTTTCCCTTCATCCTTCAGTACTTGGCTTAAATCCAAGTCCCTACTGTAGAAGGTCCTGCTTAACCTTGGCTCTCTCCACCTTTGTGCCTGCATCACCTACCACCTCACTCGCTTAGCCTCCTCGATGTCTCCCTGAACATATCAAGTACATTCCCACCTCAGGGCCTTTGCACGTGCTTTGCCCTCTTCCTAGAATACCACCCATCACTCTTCACTTGGCCACCTCTACTTCACCTTTTAGGTGTCAGCTTTGCTCCAAACCCCTTACAATGGCCTAAAAAGCCCTAGATGATCTGAGCCCCACTACTCTTCAACTTAATTATCCCATTTCCCACCCCTGAAACTCCAGTCATACAGGCATTTTGATATTCTCCTGAACTCACCCAGCTCAGCCCAGCCTCAGGGCCTTTGCACTTGCTGTACCCTTCACTGCCACATTTCTACCCTCTTCCTCATCCCTATTCTTTGCCTGGCCTCTTTCACCTCTCAGCTTAAAATAGAACCCTTCTACCCACCAGGCCCTGATTGTCCCCACTTTTCTGATCTCATCTCCTAGCAGCCTCTGTATTCCATCTTCCTAATCTCACTCTCTCAGGGGCAACCTCATTGGCCCCATGCTGTTCTACACTCTTCAAGCTCAGTCCAGCCTCAGCCTTTGCACCTATTGTTCCCCCTGCCTAGGAATAACTACTTTTCACCTGGTTGTCTCTTCCTCATCTTTTAGTTTTTAACTTAAATCAAATGCCTCTATCACAGCAATCCCCTCCATTATCCCCTACCTCATTCTTCCCTCTCTCCCTCTATTCTAGCCCCACTGGCCTCCATGATGTTCCTCTACATCTCATGTTTGTTCCTCTACCTCTCATGTTTGTTCCTCTCTCGAAGTCTTTGCACTTGCTGTTCTTTCTAGCAGGAACACCTGTCCATCCACTTATCTCCCTGCCTGTTCCATCTCTTTCTTCGGGAGAGGCAATAGAAGGTAGTGTTTGAGAGTATGGACTCTGGAGAAGCTTGGCTTCAAATCCTGGCTCTGCCACTCATTGACTGTGTACCCTTGAGTAAGTAGTCACTTAACCTCTCTATGCCTCAGTTTCCTCATCTAACAAGATCAGCTATTTCACAAGGTTGCTGTAGAAATTCATTGAGTTACTGTAGGTCAAGCATTTAACACATAGGAGTAAGAATATATGTTGGCTATTATTATCCAAGCCTCCACTTAAATGTCTTTTCAGAGAGGTGAGAACATAAATACTGGCATTTATGTCCTCTGCTTATCAAGGGGCTTCTCCATGTCAAACACTAGGCTTTATGGGCAGAATTTCCTTTACTCCAACAGCGCTGGATTTACAGGATTAAGAGTTAAGGCCTGTAAAGTGTTTGGCACAGTGCCTGGCACATGGAAAATTCCCTTGGTTTTCCATTTCCCATTCATCTTCCTCCTGAAAGCCTGAGCTGCTGCCCCAACCTTCTCGATAATAATTATCAACTTATTGTTGTGAATTTTACAACAACCCCACCTCCCGATTTTTATCTTTTTTTAAAAGAGTAAAGCAGTGGCTCTTGACGTCTGCTGGGTGGTGGGCCCCCTGAGAGCCCTCTGCCCAGAGCACGCTGCTCTCTGCGCTCTCCCCTCTCACCCCCACCTCCCAACGCACACACCTCTAGTTCCCGACCTTTTACAGGTCGCCTTACCCTCTGAAAATCAACCCTAAAATGCACAAATCTATAACTTTGGAGGGTTCACATCGACACAATATTAAGTTAACATTTACTGAACATCCGCTGGGCCTCAAGGGTCTTTTAAACACCCTACTAATATTAACCGGGCAAATTCTCACCACCACCTTGTGAAGCGGTTTCTACCCAGGCACCTTCTCATTTGACAGAGGACAAAACTAAGGCCGGGGAGCCACAGCCACACAGTCAAGGAGAGGCAGCAGCGCCTGCTTGGGGCCCTGGCTTCCTCACTGACCACAGGCCTTCTAACAGCCCCACCCACTCTTGGGAGAAATGCCTGCCCCTCCTCCTCCGCTGGACCCAGGTTGCTTGGCGCTCACCAGCACTTGCCCGGGATGCTCCCGGCGCACCGCCACCTTCACGCCGCGGGCCTCCAGGCGCACGGCACGCGTGTAGCTCACGGTCTGGCTCCCCCGATGCTCATTTTCCACCAGCACCCGAAAGGCGGGCAGGGCCGCGTTCTGGCCGCACGAGCCGGCCAGCAGGTAGGTGCAGGTGCCCATGAAGTCGAAGCGCCGGCCATCGAAGCTCACGTAGTGCGGGTCCCCCGACGCCTGGCAACTCCCGAAGCGGTCGGGATAGCAGCCCAGGAGGCCGTTCTGGACGCGGCAGCGCTCGCCGGCTGGACAGCCCTGCGTGTCGCTG